AATGACCTCATAGCCTGCTAGTATCCCAAAAAGCTCTGTGCAGCCCACTCCTGTCAGGGCTGGGCCATTAACTCAAAAGTGTTCCTGGTGCACAGGAATGTTCTTTGTGACGGAGTCTATCACCCAGCATTGACAGAGCCTTTTCTGAGCCCTCATGGTTCCTTCCCACGGGGCGACCTGGGCTCTCATTCTCATAATCTCCCAGGAGACTTGCACTCTGTGAAGTACCTGGGGAAAAAACCATCATCCCATCTGTATTCGTTTGCTATGGCTGCCATCACAAAGTACCATAGACCTGGTGGCTTAAACAACAGAAATTCATTTTCTCACAGTTCTAGAAGCTGGAAGTCTGAGATCAAGGAGTTGGCAGAATCAGTTTCCTCTGCGACCTATCTCCTTTCTTTGTAGGTGGCGTTCTCTCCCTGTGTCTTCCCATGGTCTTCCCACTGTAACTGTCTGTGTCCAAATTTCCTCTTGTTATAAGGATACCAACCATATTGAATTAGGGCTCACACTAATGACCTCATTTTAACTTAATTGCCTCTTTAAAAGCACAATCTGTAAATAACAGTCACATTCGGAAGCCCTGGGGGTTATGGCTTCCACATATGGATTGGGTGGGTGGGGAGTGGATGGATGCAGTTTGGCCCATGTGGCATCTTACAGGTGAAACAACTGAGGCCTAAGAGGGTCAGTGGCTCGTACTGGGCAGGGCCAGACCTAGAATCAGGGCAGGACACCCTCCCTCTCTGCCTTCACTCACATCCCAGCCTCCACTTGCCTGTCCCAGAGAGGAAGAGGATGGTGGGTGAGGGCAGTCATCGGTCTGACTCCCCACCAAACCTCCCAGCTGGTGGAAGTGACAGGTCAGGCAAGCCACTGTGTTGGGCACAGCCAGGAACAGCAGAAGGGCAGACATTCTCTAGGGCAGTGCTTTTCAAACTTTTATATGCACAGGAATTATTATACCTGGTGAACTCCGTTAAAATTATTTTTTATTTAAATTTTTTTGAGGTCGGGGTCTCACTGTGTTGCCCAGGCTGGAGTGTAGTGGCTGTTCACAGGTACAATCATAGCTTACTACAGCCTTGAATTCCTGGAGTCAAGAAATCCTCCTTCCTCACCCTCCCCATTAGCTGAGACTACAGAGCTGTGCCACCATTCTGGCTAAAAAAATAAGTAATTTTAAGTAATTAAGTTAAAATGAGGTCATTAGGATGGGCCCTAATCCAATCCAGGCTCTGACTTGGCCTCTCTGGGGAAGGGCCTGAGACTCTCCATTTCCCACAGGCTCCCAGGTAATGCCAGTGCTGCTGGTTTCTAGACCACACTGAGCAGTAGCAAGGTTTAGACCAGCACACTCCATGAGAAATAGATGTTATTCTAAATTTTCTAATATCACATCAAGAAAAGTAAAAACAAACAGGTGGGCCGGGTGCCTTGGCTCAGGCCTGTAATCCCAACACTTTGGGAAGCCAAGGTAGGAGGACAGCTTGAGACCAAGAGTTTGAGTTGGGCAATATAGTGAGACCCCATTTCTACACAAAATAATTTTAAAAATTAGTTGAGGCCGGGCGTGGTGGCTCATGCCTGTAATCCCAGCACTTTGGGAGGCTTGGAGACAGGCGGCTCACTTGAGGTCAGGAGTTCGAGACCAGCCTGGCCAACATGGTATAACCCTGTCTCTACTAAAAATATATACAAGAATTAGCCAGCCATGGTGGTGCCCACCTGTAGTCCCAGCTACTTGAGAGGCTGAGGCAGGAGAATTGCTTGAACCCAGGAAGGTGGAGGCTGCAGTGAGCTGAGATCACATCACTGCACTCCAGCCTGGGGCGACAGAGCAAGACTCCACCTCAAAAAAACAACAACAACAACAACAAAAAAAAAAAAACAATTAGTTGGGCAGGTTAGCGCTTGTTTATAGTCCTTGCTACTCAAGGGCTGAAGCAGGAGAATTGCCCGAGTAGAGGAGTTGGGAGTTGGAGGCTGCAGTGACCTATGATCATAACCAGTGTACTCCAGGCTGGGGCGACAGAGAGAGAGCGCTACCCCCTAAAAAAAGAAAACAGGACTAGGCGCAGGTGGCTACATCTGTAATCCCAGTAATTTGGGGACTAATGGTGGGATGATCGCTTGAGTCCAGAAGTTTCAGACCAGCCCTGGGCAACGGAGTAAGACCTTGTCTTAACAAAAAACAACCAAACAAACAAACAAAATGCCGGGCATGGTGGCTCTGGTCGTAATCCCAGCACTTTTGGGAGGCTAAGGGCAGGTGGATCACCTGAGGTCAGGATCGAAACCAGCCCAGCCAACATGGTGAAAAAACCTTATCTCTACTAAAAATATAAACAAAAAAAAAAAAGGCTGGGGTGTGGTGTGGCGCCTATAATCCCAGCTATCAGGAGGCTGAGACAGAAGGATTGCTTGAACCCGGGAGGCAGAGGTTGCAGTGAGCTGAGATTGCGCCACTGCACTCCTGCCTGGGTGACCAGAGTGACGATCTGTCCCGCCAAAAAAAAAAAATAAAAAATTTAGTTCAAATGTAGTGGTGCACTCCTGGTGAGTTTCAAGCTCTTATAGGAGTTGAGGTAGTGAAGATGCTTGAGCTAGGGAATCGATGGTTGCAGTGAGCATAATCATGCCACTGCACTCTAGCCAGGCGTGAGAGAACAAAACCAGTCTCAAAAAACAAGAAACAAGGCAAAATTAGGCTCCTGTGTGTGTGTATGGGTATTTTTTTTTTTTTTCAGAGGGAGTCTCACTCTATCACCCAGGCTGGAGTGTAGTTGTGTGATCTCAGCTCACTGCAACCTTTACCTCCGAGGTTCAAGTGATCCTCCTACCTCAGCCTCCTGAATAGATGGGATTACAGGTGCCTGCCACCACGCCCAGCTAATTTTTGCTTTTTTTGCAAGGACTAGGTTTCACCATGTTGGCCAGGCTGGTCTCAAACTCCTGACCTCAAGTGATCCTCCTGCCTTGGCCTCCCAAAGTGCTGGGATTACAAACTCTAATATATTTTTAACCCAATATATCACAAACATGATCATGATAATTTCAGAACATTAAGCCTTATAAAAAGTGTTAATGAGATATTTTACATTATTTTGTTTGTACTAAGTCTTTAGGTACTTCATAGCACATCTCACTTGGGACTCTAAATTCTTATGAGAAATACTTCATCACAAAATTTACAGTTGAAAAAAATAGGATCACACATCTAAGTTGTTCTAAACCTACTTACAAGTTTTCAAAAAACTGAATCCAGTATTAGTTTTTAAATTTACATTTAAGTTAATTAAAATCAAATAAATTTAAAAATGTGAGACTGGGCACAATGACTCACGCCTGTAATCCCAGCACTTTGGGAGGCCAAGTCGGTGTGATCACTTGAACTCAGGAGTTTGAGACCAGCCTGGCCAACATGTGAAACCCCATCTCTACTAAAAATACAAAAATTAGCCGGACGTGGTGGTGCGCGCCTGTAATCCCAGCTCCTTGGGAGGCTGAGGCACAAGAATCACTTGTACCTGGGAGGCAGAGGTTGCAATAAGCTGAGATCGCACCACTGCACTCCAGCCTGGGCGACGTAGTGAGACTCTGTCCCCTGCCAGCCCCCACCAAAAATTTAGTTCTTGGGTCGTATTACCCCATTAAAAAAATTTTTTTTATAGTGAGACCCAATCTCTAGCATTACCCCATTGCAAATGATGAAAAGCTACATGTGGCTAGTGGCTACTGTATAAGACAGCACAGGACTAGACCACCAGGAAGAAGAATGACATAAATGAAGGATCCCCAGCTCCACAGAGGACTTGGGACAGAAACAGCCCAAGACCCAGAGAGCAGCCAGAGTAGGAGCCCAGGGAAAGAGCTGTTGGAAACAAAGAGCTCAAGGTGACTGAAGTGTACCCCAAGATCTAAGCACCAGGCATTGTAGCCTGCTCTGGAGGAACGGCTCGGCAGGAAATGGGAAGGTGAGAAGAAATCCCAAACCTGTCAAAGTAGGAATGGGTGGAAAAGCAAGAACTATGTCCAGGGAAAATAAAAAAGCACTTCTGGGGTTGGATTCTGGAGAGTGACCTGTGCAGGGGAGCTTGACCTTGTCCTGGGCACCTCTAGGAGGCAAAATTAGGACCAAGGGTGGTTATTACAGGAAGCTGCTTGGGGCTCAAACCAACACTGAGTTTTTAAACAAGGAGAGTCCTCAGTAATGGAAACAGGGAGCTTCCTGCCCTTGGAATCCTAGACGGAAAATGTTCTACAGGAATCACCTCCTCCTCATCCAGTGGAATAGCGAAACAGAGGCTGGGCAGGTACCCATTGAGAGGCTGCAGAGGGGTTTCTTCCTGTATAAAGGGTTGAATAATACGTTCCCTCCAGTTAGGTGCCTATTGATTCTGTATTCGGAGTAATTGACCTTTCCAGAGGACTTATTAAGTGTCAGGCAGCTAAACCCCTGAAATAAGCACTTTACTGCCATTTCATCCACACTAAAGTCATGAGCCTGGTCCTCTAGTTTTCTCCACTTCTTAGAGGAGGAGACTGAGCCACTGAGTTTTGAAGTCACGTCTAATGGCCAGAAGATGCTCCAGCGAGGCTTTATAAGTGGGCAGTCTGGTTCCGAGGCATGCCATTCGCTGTACCACACTGCCCAGAAGGAGGCTCGGCCTGTCTTATCCTCTCCCTGCTTGGCCTTAACCAGCCACATTTCCCAACTGATCCCACTCACTGCAGAGGTGAAAACTACCAGGCTAGGTCCTGCTGACTGGGAGAGGGGTGGGCAATAGGCCTGGATTTGCTGGAGCTTCCACTGTAGATGTAATCACATGTACAATTTCCCTTCACCTCTTGTTACCCTGGGGCGGGGGGAGGAGGGGTGCTCTCTCAGCAACCCCACCCTGGGATCTTGAGGAGAAAGAGGGCAGGGAAAAGAGGGAATGGGACTGGCCCAGATCCCAGCCCCACGACCGGGCTTCCACATGGCTGAGCAGGAACTCTAGAGCAGCCGCACACAAAAGAGGGCTTTGATGCGCCTCCAGCCAGGCCCAGGCCTCTCCCCTCTCCCATCTCTCTCCGGGTCTTCCTTTGCCCCACTCTGGGCCTCCTGTGAGCCCGATTTAACGGAAACTGTGGGCGGTGAGAAGTTCCTCATGACACACTAATCCCAACCTGCTGACTGGACCACGCCTCCAGCAGAGGCGACCTCTAGAGCTCCAGGACATTCAGGTACCAGGTGGCCCCAAGGAGGAGCTGCCGACCTGGCAGGTAAGTCAATACCTGGGGCCTGCCTGGGCCAGGGAGCCCAGGACTGGGGTGAGGACTCAGGGGAGCAGGGAGACCACATCCCAAGCTGCCTGTAAAACCGAAACCACCTGGCCATTCTTCAGGTTGAGCCAGACCAATTTGATGGCAGATTTAGCAAATAAAAATACGGGACACCCAGTTAAATGTGAATTTCAGATGAACAGCAAATACATTTTTAGTATTAAAAAAGTTCACATGTAGGCCAGGTGCACTGGCTCACGCCTGTAATCCCAGCACTTTGGGAGGCCAAGGCAGGCAGAACACCTGAGATCAGGAGTTCAAGACCAGCCTGGCCAACATGGAGAAACACTGTCTCTACTAAAAATACAAAAAATTAGCTAGGCATGGTGGTGGGCACCTGTAGTTCCAGCTACTCAGGAGGCTAAGGCAGGAGAATCGCTTGAACCTGGGAGGCAGAGGTTGCAGTGAGCTGAGATCGCACCATTGCATTCCAGCCTGGGCAACAAGAGCGAAACTCTATCTCAGAAAAACAAACAAACAAACAAACAACAACAACAACAACAAAAAGTTCACATTTAACTGGGCATTCTGTATTTTCATTGGCAACCTGAGATGGCAGGGAACAGCACTGGCATGGTGCGAGGGATAAGCATTTTTTCATTGTGTACAGCTTGTAAATCAGTATTTTTAAAACTCAAAGTTAACAGCTTGGGCATATTTAGAAAAGAGTTCCTGGACGGACTTGAACCCTGTATTCCTAAGATCTCGGATCTCATTCTGATGGTCTGCACAACCGGCTGGGGGTGTCCAGTCACTGTCCCTTTTGTCTGGGCTCCCCAGGGCAGTTCTGTCAGCCTCTCCATTTCCATTCCTGTTCCAGCAAAACCCAACTGATAGCACAGCAGCATTTCAGTCTGTCTATCTCTGTGCCCACCTATCTGGACATCTACCAGCCAGAAAGATGGCTTAGATTTGGTTCCTGTGGGTGGATTATGGCCCCCAGAACTTCCCTGTGCTTGCTGGGGCTGTGGAGTGGAAGGAGCAGGAAATGGGGGACCCTCAGATACTCTTTGGCGGTCCTCCAAGTCTCTTTGTGCAAGTTAGGGTAATGATCAATATGTAGCTAAGAAAGAGAAGGGGAACTATGTTTTAGAACAGGACACTGTGCCAGGAGCACTGCAGAAATTATATGGTTTTCATGACAGTTCTTTTTGGTAGGTACTGTTATTATCCTCAGTTTGCAGATGAGGCAACTGAGACCCAGAAAGGTTAAATAACTTGCTAGAGTCACACAAGTTGTAACTGACAAAGCCTGATTCAAACCCAGGTCTCCCTAACCTTAAAGGTTTCTATGATGCCAGCTCTCCTAGGGAGTTTGCCTGCAGATGTCTTGGCTCTAGGTGTCAAAAAAAGACTTGGTGTCAGGCAGGCATAGGTTCAAGTCCCAGCTCTGTCACTTACCAATTGTGACTAGCTGATTGAACTGACCATGGAACCTGGTCACAGGTAGGAGCAGGATGGTGAAAGGTTCCTGAAGGCACTTAGGCAGGACATTTAGGCAGGAGAGAAAACCTGGAAACAGAAGAGCTGTCTCCAAAAATACCTACTGGGGAAGCAGGTTGTCATGTGGGCCATGAATGGGATCTGTTCTGGTAACCAAGCATTACTTATGTGTCCATTATTTAACTACATCTCATAACCCTTCCATCCTACTTTACAGGGAACAACCAAGACTGAGGTTAAATCACACAGCCTGCAAGTGGAAGAGAAGAACTTGAACCCAGGTCCGACTTTTGCGCCACAGCAGGCTGCCTCTTGGTGCTGACAGGAAGTCACAACTTGGCTCTGAGTCCTGATCCCTGGCTATTTTTGGGCTGTGTTACCTTGGACAAGTCACTTATTCCCCTCCTCTGTTTCCTCCTATGTAAAATGGGAATAATAATGCTGACCCTGGGTCTGAGAGAGTGGATTTGAAAGTACTTAGTGCATCACAAAGCACAGAACACACTTCCAGTTTCATGGTTACGTACTTACGTAACTGGTCATCACCCATCTTGAGAACGAATGCATTGGGGAAAGGGCCATCCACTAGGCTGTGAAGTTTCTGAGGGACCCCTTTGGGCTGGAGAAGGATGGCCACAGGAGAGAGGAGAGATTGCCTTATCCTGCAGTGATCGTGTCATTGAGAATAGAGCCAGACTTTTTTTCCTGGCAGGGCCAACTTGTAACATCTGAGGACTGAGCTATTTGTGTCTGTGCCTTGTCCAAACAGTGTTTCCCAAAGTGTAGCCCAAGAGCCATCTCCCTCAGAGCCACCAGGATGTGTTTTAAATTGCAGGTTCCTAGGTCCCAGCCTGCACCTTCAGAGTCAGAATCATGGAAGTTGGGGCCCAGACACCTGCATTTCTAACAAATGCCTTGGGTGATTCTGATGCAATTGAAAGTTTGAGATCCACTATTCTGAGACAATAACAAAATGGTTTTTCTAACCCCTGCAGCCCTGACTTCCTATCCTAGGGAAGGGGCTGACTGGAGAGGCCAGGACAGAGAAAGCAGATCCCTTCTTTTTCCAAGGACTCTGTGTCTTCCAGAGGCAATATGTCAGAAGGGGTAAGTACCGTGTCCTCCCGGGCTCCCCTCCACCCACCTTCCCTCTCTTCCCTCTCCCTCCCTCCTCACTTCTCTATCTTCTGCTCTGCCCAGGAATATAGGCACACACTCCTACAACCTCTGTGTGGGTCCTGACCCCCACAAAAGGAGAAGGCTTAACAATGACCTTGGGGAAAAAAAATTAAATGTCTGAACAGGCCCATTCCCATGGCTGGCTCAGGCTGATGGGGTTGGCTGTTCCTGTTTTTCCTTTCTTTGCCCAGGTGGGCACGTTCCGCATGGTACCTGAAGAGGAACAGGAGCTCCGTGCCCAACTGGAGCAGCTCACAACCAAGGACCATGGACCTGTCTTTGGCCCGTGCAGCCAGCTGCCCCGCCACACCTTGCAGAAGGTGAGGTGGCTGACAGTGCGGGGAGGAGCAGCCTAGGGAGGCAACATGAGGGGAACATGACCGCATTCTCTGTTCTGTGAAAGGGTCTAGCCCTGGCACTCCAGATCATCCTGGACCTGATAGACTGGCCTGTTCTAGGGTCCTTCCTGGTGGTCACGGCTATGGCAGCAACTGGGTTGACCAGACACCCAGCCAGGCCAGCCCAACCCAAGACTACAGCCCAGAGCCTTGGAACTAGGGCCCTCTAAACTAGACTCAATATGACCAGCATTGGTTTGGAAATGGCCCCGGGGAACAAGCATCCAAATGCTGCCCCTGCTAGACAGGCAAGAGACGTGAGTTCCAGAACCAGACCTACTTTCAGCTTGCTGTGTGACCTTGAGCAGATTGCTTTCCATCTCTGGGTCTTGCCCTCTGTACCTGTGAAAGACGGTTGGTGGACTAGCTCAGAGATGGTCAGACTGTGCTCTGTGGAGGCTGACAGAGCTGTCTTAGGGCTGCCGGGGAGGATGAGAAGTGGCTGAACTGAGCCTGGGCTCCCAGCTTCCATCTCTGCTTCCTTGGGCATCTCAAGGGAAAGGTGCTATTAGCTCCTTCACACTTTACTCCCCCTCCTTTCCCTTCCCTCCTCATGCTGTCCAAAGAGAGGGCTGTCTGAGGTGCGGGGAGGAGCTCTCCTGACCCAGCAGAGGGGAGGAATGTGAGGCTCTGGGCAGGCGGCAGGCTGCCATCTGCTGGAGAGCTGTGTTTTTGAAAAAATCAGAATGGAGCCTGGGAGGCAGCAGAGTGAAGTGATGAAAAGGAGTCCCCGCTCCACTCCTTTCTCTCTGGGTGACCTTGAGCAAGAATATCTTCACCTTTATGAGCCTCAGTCTGCTCATCTGAGAGATGGGGATAAGAACGCCAACCATGATGGTCTGTGGCAGATTGAAAAACACAATGCATTTAAGGGACTTAGGTTGCTAGGCAAAGGCTCAGTGAGTGTAGGCAGTCATTTTTAGAAACATTTAGACTGTTGGCCATATTCTGCAAATATCCAGGATGAACAGTTTGACCGAATTCTCTCCACACACAACAATCTCAGGTGTTGCCAGTACAGATGCTGCCCCTGGGGCAGAAGAGCAAGGGCTGCAGCTGCAGACCTCTGGGCCCCCTCAGCTTTGGCAGGAGACTCATCACCTGTGTGTCCTACCCCTCACCTGCACCTAAGTCTAACTTCATGCACACCCCACCCTGTTCCAGGCCAAGGATGAGCTGAATGAGAGAGAGGAGACCCGGGAGGAGGCAGTGCGAGAGCTGCAGGAGATGGTGCAGGCGCAGGCGGCCTCGGGGGAGGAGCTGGCCGTGGCCGTGGCGGAGAGGGTGCAAGAGAAGGACAGCGGCTTCTTCCTGCGCTTCATCCGCGCGCGAAAGTTCAACGTAGGCCGTGCCTATGAGCTGCTCAGAGGTGAGGCCCGCGCTGAAGGGACGGCCCTGAGAGGACGGGAGGCCATGAGGATGGTATCCACTCTCACCTAGGCACTGAAGAGGCCCGCTTCCATACTGTGGGCAAGTCTGTTTCTCTGAGCCTCCATATCCTTACTTGTAAAGTGGGTCAGCTCTGACAATGAACGAATGAATGAATGAATGAAATGTGTCAGGAGCAGATTCCTAGAGGTCAGAGTCCTCCCAACTGTCTCTCAGTCTTGGGATTCAATGAGTAAAATTTGGGTACCCCATTTGGTTGACGAGGGGAGGAGTTTCCGCTCCAGAACCCCACCATGAGAACCTAAGCTTTGGCTCTGGAATGCTGCAGGAAGGTGGATAGTGCCTCGCTGAAGGCAGTTACCTAAGCCCCATGTGCAGTGGAACTGAAGATGGTGTCAGACCTGGGAATGAGCCCTGGGGACAGAACTGCCCTGGCACTGCTGGCTGGATGAAGACAGGATGCCTCAAGAAATCATCGGCGGGGTGCAGTGGCTCACGCCTGTAATCCCAACACTTTGGGAGTCCGAGGAGGGCAGATCATCTGAGGTCGGGAGTTAGAGACCAGCCTGACCAACACGGAGAAACTCCACCTCTACTAAAAATACAAAACTAGCCAGGCGTGGTGGTGCATGCCTGTAACCTCAGCTACTTGGGAGGCTGAGGCAGGAGAATCGCTTGAACCTGGGAGGCGGAGGTTGAGGTGAGCTGAGATTGTGCCATTGCACTCCAGCCTGGGCAACAAGAGCAAAACTCCATCTCAAAAAAAAAAAAAGGGGGGGCCCCTCAGGAAATCAAATCTTGGGCACTGGTGGAGGGAAATGGGGTCTGAGCGGACCCTCTGCAGGCTAATGATTTTCCTTTTCTTACTTCTTCCTTCTCCAAATGATAATTCAGGGCCATGCTGTGCCAAGAACTGTTTTAGGCCAAGGGATGCAGTGGAGACAAAACAGACAAGAGTTCCCTGCCCTGGTGGGACTTATATTCTAATGGTGGAAACGATATATCCAATAAATAAAGTAAAATTATATAGGGTTAAATAATGGTAAGGAATAAGGAAAGAAATTAAGGAGGTGGATATAAAGTCTTGAGGGGTTGAAGTTTTAGATAAAGTGGCCAAGGAAGTCCCAGTGCAAAGGGAATTTTTGAAGAAAAACCCAAAGGAAATGAGATATCTGTGGGGAAGAGCAGCTGGGGCAGAGGGAACAGCAAAGACAAAGGCCAGGGGGTGGGAGGTGCCCGGAGTGTTCCAGAGCAGTGAGTAAGTGGATGTGGCGGTCTCTCGGCAGATGTGCCCAGCTCCTCTAGGGGCTCAAGTTTGGTGGTGCAGGCCACAGAGGTGGGGAACTGCTCAGGATGGGTAAGGATGGAGTTTGTGGACTGTAGAGGTGCTGCTGGAATCAGGAAGGGTTCTGTGTCCTGCTTGGGGTTTGGATTCTCCTTGGGAGCTTCTCCCCAGCCCTGTGCACACCTCACCACTCAGCTTATCCTGTGCCCTGTGCCTTGTCCCCATGGGGAAGAAAATAACAAGTAATGCTTATCCTCATATTTAGGACTACGCCTCATGTTTGCACAAGCTTATGATGATGTTTACACCTTGAATCATTTGATTGCCACAACAATTTGGTGAGATAGGCCACTATCTAGACTATCTAGAATAGATAGGCCAATATCGAGATCCCATTTTTTGGAGAGGCAACATGGGGCTCAGATAGGTTGAGTAGCCAGCTTGGTCACACATAGGACACATGTGGAAGAGCCAGGCAGGAGGCCAGGTCTCTGAGTCCCACTAGGTGGGATGGGGTAGGGATGGGATGGCTCCCTGAGGGGTTTCCTCTGCTCTCCTTCCTCCAGGCTATGTGAATTTCCGGCTGCAGTACCCTGAGCTCTTTGACAGCCTGTCCCCAGAGGCCGTCCGCTGTACCATTGAAGCTGGCTACCCTGGTGTCCTCTCTAGTCGGGACAAGTATGGCCGAGTGGTCATGCTCTTCAACATTGAGAACTGGCAAAGTCAAGAAATCACCTTCGATGAGGTTAGTGGGGGCTTGCCTGGCTCCCACCCCATGGGTTGGGTTCCCTCCCTCAACCCTGGCCTCTACTGAGCCCTCATTTCTGGTTCCCCAGGAGGCAAGGTCTGTAGAGGGGAAAGGTGGGCAGCCACCTGCTACCAAGCCCTTTCCAGGCAGGAAGAGAAGTCCTAGGATGTGCCAGGGCAGCTGGAAAACCCAGCAGCTTTGCAGGTGGGGCTTGATGGTCAATAATACATGGCTGTTCCTGGGTATCCCAGCCAAGTGCCAAGCGGGGGTAACAGCTGTGTGCCACGAGCTGGGGGCTGCCCTGCCAAATGCTAAAAGCTGATAGCAACAGAAAGAACAAGGATTAGTGGACTATAGGCTGGAAGAGATTCTGGAAAGCACAGGTTCCAGTCTATTTAGGAGCCCGAGTTCTTTGTGCTTATATATGTACACAATTTTGCTTGTCTGAGCCGTTAAGGGGGCTGCCCCAAGTCGGGGAATTAGGGTTTGTCTTGGGAGAGTTTTGGCATGTGCCACTGAGCCTGAAAAATATTCCTTTAATTTTAAAAAAACCTGCTACAAACTTATTTTATTTTATTTATTTTTGAGACGGAGTCTCGCTGTAGTCACCCAGAATGGAGTGCAGTGGTGCTATCATAGTTCACTGCAACCTCAAACTCCTGGGCTCAGGCAAGCCTCCTGCCTCAGCCTGCTGAGTAGCTGGGACTACAGGCACACGCCACCATGCCCCGCTAATGTTTGTATTTTTAGTAGAGACGTGGTTTCACCATGTTGGCCAGGCTGGTCTCGAACTCCTGAGCTCAAGTGATCTGCCCACCTCGGCCTCCCAAAGTACTGGGATTACAGGCATGAGACACTGCACCCAACCCAAACTAATTTTAGATAATGCTATCTAGTTGTGCCAACACAATTTATTAAAAAGTCCATCTTTTTTCAATGAGTTGAAATGCCATCTTTATCATATTTTATATTTTCATATGTACTTGGTCTCTTTCTGGACTTTCTATTCTGTTCCATTGGACTCTTTATCTATTCATACTCCAATATCATACTGTTTTGATGATAGGGATTTTGTGGCATGTTTGATCTGTTAGGGCTAGTTTTGTCTTTACTGCTCTGCTTTTTGGGGGGCTTTTCTAGCTACTTCTACATGTTCATTTTCCCCTATGATCTATGATTTAGAATTAATTTGTCTAGCTTTAGGAGAAATATTAGGAGTATGTTTTTGGGGATAATATTAAACATAAATAACAAGCTTGGGGAGAACTGGCTTCTTTCAGAATGTCACATTCTTGGCCAGTTGTCCTATCTACAAATGTGAGATGCCTTCTGTTTTATTCAAGTCAACTTTCGAGTTTTCAGGAGTGTTTTAAAAGTTTCTTCATAAGCTATGATTGTGCCATTGCACTTCAGCTGGGGGGACAGAGAGAGACTCTGCTTCTGAAAAATAAAAAGTTTTTAAAATTTTTTCCTCACAATGTCCTGCACAGTTCTCATTAAATTTGTCTTAGGTATTAATTTTGTTGTCATTGCTAAAAATGGGGCTCCTTTTTCCATTATATTCTTCTAGTTGGTTATTGTTTGTATAAATGAAGGTTATTGTTTTTGTTTTTTAATTGTATATCCCCCTATTTTACTGAACTCTTTTAAAATTTATGTTAGTTTTATAATGGATTCTCTGGGGTTTTCTAAGTATACTATAATACTATCTGTAGGTAGAGGAGATAGTTTTTCTTTTCCCTTTCCACTTCTCATGCCCCTGATTTTTTTTTTTTTTTCCCAAACAAATTGATTGCATTGGTTAGTACGTTCAACATAGAATTAAATGGTGGCAGAGATGGTGAAATCCTTATCTAATTCCTGATCTTAGTAAGGATGCCTGTAGTGTTTTCCCATTAAATAAGACACAGGCTGTAGAGCTGAAGCGCACACCTGCGTATCTGTGTGTATTACGGAAGAGACTTAAATATATATTTTTTCTTATTACATAAGTGATATCTACTCATTTTAGAAAATACAAAAAATTGGCTGGGCGCAGTGGCTTATGCCTGTAATCCCAGCACTTTGGGAGGCTGAGGCAGGTGGATTACCTGAGGTCAGGAGTTCGAGACCAGCCTGGCCCACATGGTGAAACCCTGTCTCTACTAAAAATATAAAAATTAGCCGGGCGTGGTGACAGGCACTTGTCATCCCAGCTACTCAGGAGACTGAGGCAGGGGAATCGTTTGAACCCATGAGGCGGAGGTTGCAGTGAGCCGGGATGGCACCACTGCACTCCAGCCTGGGCAACACAGCAAGACTCCACCTCAAAAAAAAAAAATTACAAACAAATTTAAAATCATTTGCAATTCTACTACCCAGAGAGCTCTACTATTGACATCCTTTCAATCTTTTTATACGTGTATGCACACAAATACACACACACATGCACACACATTTTTCTTTTTTTTGAAACAGAGTTTTGACACAGGTTGGAGTGCAGTGGCGTGATCTCGGCTCACTGCAACCTCTGCCTCCCAAGTTCAAGTGATTCTCCTGCCTCAGCCTCCCAAAGTAGCTGGGATTACAGGTGCCTGCCACCACGCTCAGCTAATTTTTTTGTATTTTTAGTTGAGACAGGGTTTCACCATGTTGGCCAGGCTGGTCTTGAATTCTTGACCTCAGATGATCCACCCGCCTCAGCCTCCCAAAGTGCTAGGATTACAGACGTGAGCCACCATGCCCAGCTCACACATTTTTCTTATAATAATGGTATTATATTCTACAATAATATATCATGCACATTTTCCTGTATTATTAGTCTTCTATATTGTTTTTAATTGCTCCAGAGCATTCCATGGCATAAATGTACCATAATTTCACCAGTTTCCATTGTTGGACGTTTAGGTTGTCTCCAACGTTCCCACTATTGTAAGAGTACTGGGATAAACCTTCTGGCCTCTAACCATGGATGTGACATTCAAGCTTATTTTCTTGGTATACATTCGCAGAAGTGGAATGTCCGAGATCAAAGCCTGCAGCAATGAAGAATGAAGAATGTACCAATTAGCTCTCCCCTTAGGGCCTCAAGCCTTAATTATTGTTGCGGGTTAGGTCTTACAGCCTGTTCTCTCTGTGCGCAAGATCTTGCAGGCATATTGCTTCATCCTGGAGAAGCTGCTGGAGAATGAGGAAACTCAAATTAATGGATTCTGCATCATTGAGAACTTCAAGGGCTTTACCATGCAGCAGGCTGCTAGTCTCCGCACTTCAGATCTCAGGAAGATGGTGGACATGCTCCAGGTGAGGCTTAGAGCTCTATACCACAGGAGCCTCCCACAGCTGGGGAGGCTGAGAGGCTGGGCCTCCTTTCATGGTGCTTGCAGGGACCTAAGAATTTGGACCACCTCATGCCATAAAGAGCAGTGACAGTCACCGTCCCAACCACAAGCACTTGCATAGTGATTGACAGTTTGCCAAGTATTCACTTTCATTTTTCCATTGACTCCTTGAGAGCATTCTTTCCCTCCTTCCCTGCTTCATTTTTCAAACCTGGAAACGAAGGCTCAGAGATTTAAGTGACATCTCAAGGTCACACAGCAATCAAGTGGCAGAGGCCAGACTTGAACCTGCATCTTCTGACCTGTAATCCCATGTTGTCTGTCCACATATGTCGCACTGCCTCTCTTTGAATGTGGATTCACCCCGAGAAAGGGATATCACTAGCCCTCTGATAATTCACTCCTATATATGCTGACATGTCAGGAGTCCTTTCTTAGAGCCATCTTGGATCTGCTCTGTGTATTTGGGAAAGGAGGGGTGGGAGGTGGAGGTCGTGGGAGGGGCTGATGGACAATGAGGGATGATAAGAGTGTTCCTGTGGTTTGTAATAGTTTGCAGTCCCTTCGGCAGGCAAGTGGGTTTGAAAAAACTCACCAAAAGGCCAAGAAAGGCTACTTTCATTTCTTGACCTAATTCCTGGTTTTATTTGCATCAGCAGGGAGAGGGTTGGGTCATATGAATCTTGGGGCTTCCTCCCTGCAGTCTGGGCCACAGTAAAGCCAGGGATCCCTAGTTGCTGGCCTGGAAATAGGACCTTCAGTGGGCCCTTCTCCAGGGCAGCCCTGTGATGTTGGACAAGTCTGTTCTATGCCATGAGGAGAGGCAGCAGGGATGAGTGGGAGCCTCAGAGGTCATCAGGGCCATGGGGAATGGGATGTCTCTCTGTCACTGCAGGATTCCTTCCCAGCCCGGTTCAAAGCCATCCACTTCATCCACCAGCCATGGTACTTCACCACGACCTACAATGTGGTCAAGCCCTTCTTGAAGAGCAAGCTGCTTGAGAGGGTGAGTACATGGGCCGCCCAGACAATGAGACAAGAGGGCCGAGGGTGGGGCCCCATCTGAGCCCTCCTCACACTCTACCATGGTCCTGAGCTACGTGGATCCCACTGACACCCAATATGGAGACCTGCGGAGAGGGGTGTCGCCAGGCAAAGACTGCACACGATGGGGCTTTGTCCTCCTGCCCCTTTCCTTCCTCAACCCTCATCCTTAGGGCACCTCCTCCTGCTCAGCTCTCTCTCTCCCTTGCTTCCCTGCAGGTCTTTGTCCATGGGGAGGACCTCTCTGGTTTCTACCAGGAGATTGATGAGAACATCCTGCCCTCTGACTTTGGGGGCACGCTGCCCAAGTATGATGGCAAAGCTGTTGCTGAGCAGCTCTTTGGCCCCCGGGCCCAAGCTGAGAACACGGCCTTCTGAAAACATCTCCTGCCAGCTGAACTGTAGTTAGAATGCCTGGGCCTCTCCTCAACTGTCCTGGACCCAAGGCTAGGAAAGGGCTGCTTGAGATGACTGTGGTCCCCCCTTAGACTCCCTAAGCCTGAGTGACCTCAGATGTCACCCTGTTCTCAAGGTGGGGGATGGGGAATAAAGGAGGGGGAATTCCTTTGAACAAGAAGAACTGGGGGTAGTTATATTTCCAGCTGCCCTTGAAGCTTTAAGACAGTGATTTTTGTGTGAGGTTGTATTTCGAAGACTCTAATTCGTTTTCTCAATCATTTCCTTTGTAACAGAGTTTTATGACTTAGAGTCTGTGAAAACAGGCAAGGAGCCTGGGTTAAAATATCCCCCACTCCTAGCAAAAATGCAATAAAAGAAGATAAAAGAGGGAGGACATGTGTTCAAATGATTTGGCAAACACAGCAGTCCTGGTGGCCTCTAGGCAGGCGAGGGGTTTTCCACACAGAATTCCAGGGTGGAGGAGGCCTGGAAGTGGCTTCACTCAGGGGTGGCCTGCTCCCCTTGGTGAGGTACAGTCTGGCGTGTGTGGGATGGTCAGGAACTCGGACCTCTTTCCAGGGTGGCAGTCATGTTCCCTCCATCTGTCCGGGAGAGGGGGTCTCTCCAACAAACGCTGTCTCCTGCCGTCCCCTTGCCTGGATGGACGGCTCTACTTAGATTCATAGGTGGCATCTTCTCTGAGCTCACTCAGTCCTCAAGTTATAGAGTTAAAGCTCTCTTTTTGTCTTCACTCTCAAGCACTTTACAGTGATGAACTTACACTTTCCAAATCTGCGGGTTTTTTGTTTTTTTTTTTTTTTGAGACAGGGTCTCACTTGTCACCCAGGCTGGAGTGCAGTGGTGCTATCATAGTTCACTGCAACCTCAAACTCCTGGGCTCAGGCAAGCCTCCTGCCTCAGCCTGCTGAGTAGCTGGGACTACAGGCACATGCCACTGCACCCAACTAATTTTTTACATTTTTTTTTTTTTTTTGGTAGAGATAAGGCTCTGGCTGTACTGCCCAGGCTAGTCTTCAGCTCCTGGCTTCAAGCCATCCTTCCACCTCAGCCTCTCAAAGTGCTGGGATTGTAGTTGTGAGCCACCATGCCTGGCCCAAATCTGCATATTTTGACAAATACAAATGCTTTCCTTCTATGGAGTTGGCTTTCCTCAAGTGCTTGATGATTTTCGGGTGTGTGTTCATTTCTGTAGGTGACAATCCCTGTTAGATGCCGTTTGCTGAGCGTGCTGTTCCCTCTTGGGGAAGTGCTGGCTTCTTCTGGGCATGCGTCTCCTAAGCACTGACAGATACTTTTTCTAAGATGCTCCACTCATTTTCCCACATGGAAGCAGACACTGGCTGGCTAGTGGCAGTAGGTGAGGCCTTGTTGTTCCCACCAAGGTGTCCCAGTCAATCAACCCAAGACTTGTCTGCTCTTGCCTGTAGGGTCACCTCCATTCTTTGTGGGTATGAAGCACCCTAAGTGCTGCACCTACCTTTTGGGGCAGGATATTCCAACCGTTTTCTGGACTATGGATTCAATTCAGTCCTGTCTGCTTTCACACCTTTGGGAATTTCTCTGATCCACTGAGAGTTCTCTTTCTTGCTTTTCGGTGAGGCTGTGTACATGTTCATGTATATGTCAATGTATATATATGTGTGTGTGTGTATATGCACTTATTCCTTACATACTTTCTTTCACTACTAGGGTTTGTAGTGTATGCTCATTACCCAAGAAACTGCCTTCTTTATAACATTCACAGTCAACAATCCATGGTCATAAAATCCATGAAAACGAAAATGGTATTTACATAGGACTCCTAGGCTGGAGGAGGAATCATAGCAAATTATTATGGGCAGAAGGGTAGGAGATCAACCAGTGAGGATTTTGTCCCAAAAGTTGAGGCCTCCTTTTTGCAAACCAAATCTCACATGGAACCTTGGTATTTAAACCTAAAAAGGGCAGGCATGTGGCTCATGCCTATAATCTCAGCACTTTGCGGGGCCGAGGCAGGAGGATGGCTTGAACTTGGGAGTTTGAGAACAACCTGGGCAACATGGTGAAACCCACCTCTACAAAAAATACACAAATTAGTTGGGCATGGTGGTGCACGTCTGTAGTCCCCACTACTCAGGAGGCTGAGGTGGGAGGATCACCTGAGCCCAGGAAATCGAAGCTGCAGTTAGCCATGCACTCCAGCCACTGCACTCCAGCCTGGACAACAGAGGGACACCCTGTATCAACAAAACAAAACACAACACCAACTTAAAAGAGTGAAGCTGCTCTGGTAGAAGGGGCCTCACCCTGAGAGATCGCTTAGGAACATCTGGAGCTAAGAAGGTATTTCAAGTACGAGAACTGTCAATGGTGCTTTGGGGTCCTGTGAGAAAGGAATAGAGACTAGCGTTTGCCAAGGTGGAGGGCACTGGTGACCCATGTGGAGGTGTTGATGGAAGGAGGTGGTGATGAGGCTGAATTAAATAATTAAAAGGAATGGGTATTTTTGGTCAGGCATGGTGGCTCATGCCTGTAATCCCAGCACTTTGGGAGGCCAAGGTGGGCAGATCACTTGAGGTCAGGATTTGAGACCAGCTTGGCCAACATGGTGAAACCCTATCTCTACTAAAAATACAAAAATTAGCCAGGCGTGGTGGCGGGGACCTGTAATCCCAGCTAGTTGGGAGGCTGAGGCAAGAGAATCACTTGAACCCAGGAGGTGGAGGCTTCAGTGAGCCGAGATCACGCCATTGTACTCCAGCCTGGGCGACAGAGGGAAACTCTGTCTCAAAACCAGCAAACAAACAAAAACAACAACAACAAAAATTAGCTGAGCTTGGTGGTGGGAACCTGTAATCCCAGCTACTTGGGAGACTGAGGCAGGAGAATTGCTTGGAACCCGGGAGCAAGGAGGTTGCAGTGAGCTGAGATCGTGGCCACTCACTCCAGCCTGGTGACAGAGCGAGACTCCGTCTCAAAAAAGAAAGAAAAAAAGAATGGGTATCCTTTTAACGTTTTCATGATATAGTTCTAATTGTTCCTCAAGACCTGGGTCCAAATCTGAGGGAAAACACTGGTTGATCCTGTCCACTGACTCCCATCTTCCCCCCAGCTCCGAGATGCCATGGTGCCCTCCTGGACACAGCCCAGGCCCACTCTGAATTTGGTGGCAGCTCTAATATATAATGAATCAGGCACATGCTGAGCAGCAAGACTCTTGGGGCAAGCCTTAGCTCCTACTCAAACCCGAATGGATGCTGGGGTCGTCCCTAAGGTCGCAGGGCTTGGGCCTTAGCTCAAAGGACCCGTCTGATAAGAAAACTCAGTGGCTTTCTGAGGAAGAAGCCACAGGGTTGGGATCCCGTGAGCGGCTCTGACTGTGTGCTTGCGCTGCCCCTGCTGGCCATGGCCCTGACACTGCCCTCCAGGGACAACTGGTAGAAGGGTTAGCTGGGTGGGGGCTGCGCCAGAACCTTGCCTGGAGGGTGGTTCACTTTTTGGGGAAACGTGTGTTTAAGACCACGCAATGGTTAAAATCTGACGTGTCTCAGCCTCACAAAATCCCCCAGCTGCCTATGTGTTGTGGATTCCTACAAAATGGCCCCACATTTGTTTGGAGAGAAGACAATAAATATCTCTTTTGAAGGCACCAGCTATGGGAAGGGGAACGGACAACAATATGAATTTTACTGACAACCATTTGGGCTCCATACACAACTTCCTTTCTGGCTGAATCTGTTTTTTGTTTTGTTTGTTTTTGTTTGTTTGTTTCTTTCTTCTTTTTATTTTTTTGAGACGGAGTTTTTGCTCTTGTTGCCCAGGCTGGAGTGCAATGGTGAGATCTCAGCTTACCACAACCTCCATCTCCTGGGTTCAGAGCGATTCGTCCTGCCTCAGTTTCCCAAATAGCTGGAATTACAGGCATGCCCACCATGCCCAGGCTAATTCGTACTTTTATAGAGACAGGGTTTCTCCGTGTTGGTCAGGCTGGTCTCAAACTCCTGACCTTAGGTGATCCTCCCGCCTCAGCCTTCCCAAAGTGCTGGGATTACTGGCATGAGCCACCACGGCCCAACCCTTTCTGGGGACATCTGGGATAGGCAGAGATTCTGCCTCATCAAAGTAATTTGAGGAGTTGGAAGGTTGCAGTGATGCATTTCTGCCATGCTAATTTGGTCGTTGGGAGAATGCAGACAGCAGAGTCTGGAGGCAATTTCAGCTGTGGGTGGAGTCTCAAGGAAGGAAACTGGCGCCAGCTTCAGAGAGCCTCTCAATTGAGATTGGCCACTGCCTCGGGTTTACCCAGGGGAAAGTGGAGGAGTTTAGTGCTGCCTGGGGGCATGGCAAAGCCTTACTGGAAGAAGCATACCTTTCTCCTAATTCAAGCTAGCAGGGAAAAGGGTGAAGTGGGACCACTGCTGATCCTACTTTTTTTTTTTTTTTTTTTTGAGACAGAGTCTCACTCTGTCACCCAGGCTGGAGTGCAGTGGTTGATCTTGGCTCACTGGCAACCTCTCCCCTCCCAGCTTAAAGCGACTATCCTGCCTCAGCCTCGCCGTGAGTAGCTCGGATTACAGGTGCATGCACACACCTGGCCAATTTTTGTATTTTTAGTAGAGCGGGGTTCACCAATGTTGCCCAGGCTGGTCTCAAGCTCCTGACCTCAGGTGATCCATCCTCCTCAGCCTCCCAAAGTGCTGGGATTACAGGTGTGAGCCACCATGCCTGGCCTCTGATCCCACTTTCTGTTGGGGGCTTGGCTCTGGAGTTTAGGAAGCTCAGAAGTGTCAGATCTGGAAGCCTGTGGGATCTCCTGGAGCCTCACTATTCAAAGGGTGGTCCAAGGAGGGCTGGACCTTAGAGCTCCCAAGCTCCAAGGCCATATCTCAGACATGCTGCATCAGAATCTGCATTTTTAACAAGACCCCCAGGGGACTGCACATTAAACAACCAATCAGGCCAGGCACAGTGCCTCACACCTGTAAGCCCAACACTTTGGGAGGCTGAGGCAGGAGGATTGCTTGAAGCCAGGAGTTCAATACCAGCCTGAGCAACACAGCAAGACTCTGTTCCTATAAAAAAAAAAATCAGCCAAATGCAGTGTAGTTTTAGCTACTAGAGGCTGAGGCAGGAGGATCTCAAGTCTGGGAGTTCAAAGCTGCCTGAGCCATGATCACACCACTGCTCTCCTATTAATGGGCGACAGAGTGAGACCCTGAGAGAGGGGAGAGGGGGAGAGAGAGAGAGAGAGAGAGAGAGAGAGAGAGAGAGAGAAGGCAATCAATGCTTACAAAACAGTGGTTGTCTACCTCCCTGCAGGTGTCTGAAATGTGCACTGCCTAAACCCTGTATGTTGACATATGGAGGTGAGGATATGGAGGAACCCACTCTAGTAAGTATTCATATCTGTGGGTTTAAAGGCAAACTTTGCACGTGAGCAGAGAACAGAGAAGAAGGCTGCAGGAGCCCTGTGGGAAGACCGCAGCTGATAGGCTAAATGTCCCAGAACTTTTTCCGCTGTGGGGCTGTGCCCGGAAGTTGCCTTGCCAGTAGGCAGGACACGTAGTACACCTTGATTTCTCAAGGTGGCCAGATATGAAGAAGGAAGAGACAAAGATAAGGGTTCGAAGGTGCACACAACGTGGCTCTTCAGCACTTCTGAGCCCAGGAATGTTTTTGGAAACTATAACCAGGCCGGGCTCCACTTTCCTCGAAGTCCATCAGTTAGAATTATCCTTCGGTGATGGAACCTGGACCACATCAGACCACTTTTCTCTAGTAGTTTCTACCTTGGAGATGACGTATGAGTGGCAACCAAACAGATAAAGCCAAAACCACTGTCCAAAGTAAACAACGGCACTCTGAAAAATCATCCTGAACCTCTCAATTATCCCTGAGGTAGGCATTTTTAGTATAATTATTCCCATAGGAAATAAATAAATAATAAATAAATAAAATGAGGTTAAATTCTGCTTAGGATCAAAGAGCTAGAAATGGCGAGCATGGAACCCTGACCCAGCACCTCTGGCTCCAATCCTTTTGGCCTCTGTTACCACTCATGCTTTGTCTCCAATGTTTGTTTATTTATTCTGGGGGTGGGAGAGGGTGCAGGTAGGAGAAGGGAGAAGAAACAATGAATGAGATTTCATATATTTCAGTTAATTTCACCAACTATCATCAGATGATGAGGAAATTGACTTTAAGAGGAAACTGGCCGGGCGCGGTGGCTCAAGCCTGTAATCCCAGCACTTCGGGAGGCCGAGACGGGGCGGATCACAAGGTCAGGAGATCCGAGACCAATCCTGGCTAACATGGGAAACCCCGTCTCTACTAAAAATACAAAAAACTAGCCGGGCCGATGGTGGGCGCCCTGTAGTCCCAGCTACTCGGGAGGCTGAGGCAGGAGAATGGGTGAACCCGGGAGGCGGAGTTTGCAGTGGCTGAAGATCCGGCCACTGCAACTCCAGCCTGGGCGACAGAGTGAGACTCCCATCTCAAAAAAAAAAAAAAAAGAGGAAACCAGTCGTTAGTAGAGATGCTGGGGTAAATGTGGTAGGCAGCATGAATCAAAAGGTAGGTGTGGGTGACACAAAGCCACAATGGAGAGAGGTTTTAATTTAGCCCCTTGGGGAGGGGGTTCACCAGTTCGAGGCCAAATTCCTGTCATGTGCTTTCAACCACTCCGATACAGGCAGCCACTTCATGGAACTCCCTCTAAAAGATACCCAAGAGAGAAGTGAGGAGGGAGGCTGTCATATGAAGGGCCATCCAGTTAGGGTTTCATCTTCAACCAGGGAAAGTACTCCCATAGGACTAGAGCAGAGAGGCCTGTTAATGAAAGGTAAAATAAAAAATAGCATGACCGGGGCAGTGAGTGGAGGTGTCACTGAGCACAATGCGGTACGGCTGCCTCAGGAGAGGGCAGCTGTGTGCTACTGGTCCTGCCTGACCACACTGGCATGCAGCTGGCACTGATCGGCCTTAGAGCCCTGGACCTAAATCTCCTTCCTTGAGTCTTTCCATAGGTGAGTATTTTGCGCAAGTTGGTTTCTTCGGGCCAAATAGTCTGGCTATTTTGTGGGGGATATGATATTGGACGGGAAGTTGCTACCAGAGAGGGATGAAGTTGAAATTGGCACTGGGCATTTTAGGTCTTGTTAATGCACAACTTCTAAAGCTAACACTCCCCACCCTGCCTACACTGACAAAGGTTTTTGTGTGCTGAGGAGGGAAGGGAGCTGTGAGTGGTCTCTGGGGTTGGTACAACCCCCCTGGCTGAGCCAGTGCTTGGGTCCTGGGAACCTTAGCTATGGGTTCAGACAGATTCAAGTAAGAAACCACCACCAAGCCACCAACCCAACCAATATAATCTTAACTTGGGAAATGTTCACTTAGTCTTTTTTTTTTTTTTTTTTTTGAGATGGGTAGGTTTCACTCTTGTGCCCAGACGCAGTGCAGTGGCGCGTTTGGCTCCACACACAAGACCACCGCCTCCTGGGAGTTCAAGTATCCTCCGGCCAGCTCCGAGGTAGCCTGGGGATTATAGGCATGTGCCACCACGCCCAGCTAATTTTGTATTTTTAGTAAAGACAGGGTTTCTCCATGTTGGTCAGGCTGGTCTTGAACTCCCGACCTCAGGTTCACCTCAGACCTGCCTCGGTCTCCCAAAGTGCTGGGATTACAGGCGTGAGCCACCGCACCTGGCCTCACCTAGTCTTTTCAAAGAACATTATTGGAAAAGCCTACAAATCACACATGGCAAGCACCATTTACACCTTGCCTTGCATTTTGTCTTCATGATTCACTTTTAAGAAATGATTAAAACACTGAGGCTGGGCATGGTGGCTCACAGCTATAATCCCAACACTTTGGTAGGCCAAGGCAGGAGGACTGCTTGAACTTAAGTTTGAGACCAGCCTGGGCAACACAGCAAAAAACTAAAAACTAAAAAATTAGCCAGGTACAGTAGCAAGTCCCTGTAGTCCCAGCTACTCGGGAGGCTAAGGCAGGAGGATTGCTTGAGCCCAACAGGTCAAGGCTGCAGTGAGCTGTGATCATGCCACTGCACTCCAGCCTGGGCTACAGAGCAAGAATCTGTCTCTAAAAAATAAAAAAGTAGAAAACAGATACTTCACTTATTTTAGTTCTTGGCTTTCTTGCCTGGAGAAGATGGGGTTGTGAAGATGCTTGTGGCCCTGTCAAGGTTTTGGTATTTGTTTGCGATGATGGACTAACATCAATTGTGGTGCAAAAATGGGGTTTTGTGTATTTCCATTAATCTCATACTTTGGTGAAGACACAGGAAGAATCCTTTCAGATGGAAAACTGCCACTATACAAAGGACACATAGCCACACCACATTTTTAGTCTTTATTTTTTAAGTAAATTCCATTGAATCAAATATAACAAAATTACAGTTTTTGTTTGTAATGATCTTTGTTCACCACCACACAATCATAGTAGAATCGAAAGGAATATGAGAACATAAAATGATCAAGGACATCATTGTTTAGTATAATTTCTTATTAAAGGTAAATATCCCCATATTTAGAAAAAATTGCATTGCTAGTTGCAAATCTTAAACACCTCAATGCTGAAGGATCCTGTATTTCCCCCCCAAAGATCCAGCAGCACAGAGGCTTTCAGAACACAAACTCAAAAATATAGTATTTTCAGGGCAGCATTTTAAGTTTCAGAAACCCAAACAAAACAAAACAAAACAAAATCAGAATTAGGAATGTGAAAGTGATGGTTCTCAAAAAGTCAATCTGGAAGCAGATCTGCCAACATAAGAATGTGGTTGAACAGAGTCTAACCAGGAAAAGGAGAGATGCAAACTCACTCCCCCTCCCCCCTCGCCATCGTCCCCCGCCCCCAGCGAGCAAACCGCCTCCCTGCTCTGTGCTGTCTCTCGGATGGCGTCCACCTCCGGGGCCATGGCGAAGCACGAGCAGATCCCGGTCCTCGACCTGCCCACAGACCTCAAATTCAAAGGCCCCTTCACAGATGTAGTCACTATAAATCTTAAATTGCAAAATCCATCGGATAGAAAAGTGTGTTTCAAAGTGAAGACTACAGTGCCTCACCGGTACTGTGTGAGGCCCAACAGTGGAATTATTGACCCAGGGTCAACTGTGACTGTTTCAGTAATGCTACAGCCCTTTGACTATGATCCGAATGAAAAGAGTAAACACAAGTGTATGGTACAATTTTTGCTCCACTGAACACTTCAGATATGGAAGTTGTGTGGAAAGAGGCAAAACCTGACGAATTAATGGATTCCAAATTGAGATGTGTATTTGAAATGCCCAATGAAAATGATAAATTGAATGACATGGAACCTAGCAAAGCTGTTCCACTGAATGCATCTGAACAAGATGGACCCATGCCAAAACCACACAGTGTTTCACTTAATGACACCACAACAAGGAAACTAACAGAAGAGTGTAAAAGACTCCAGGGAGAAATGATGAAGCTATCAGAAGAAAATCGACACCTGAGAGATGAAGGTTTAAGGCTCAGAAAGGTAGCACATTCGGATAAACCTGGATCAACCTCAACTGCATCCTTCAGAGATGTCACCAGTCCTCTTCCTTCACTTCTTGTTGTAATTGCAGCCATTTTCATTGGATTCTTTGTTTTTTGGAGACGGAGTCTCACTCTTGTCCCCCAGGCTGGAGTGCAGTGGCATGATCTCGGCTCACTGCAACCTGTCTCCTGGGTTCAAGCAATTCTCCCACCTCAGCCTCCCTAGTAGCTGGGATTACAGGCGCCCACCACCACACCCAGCTAATTTTTGCATTTTTAGTAGAGACGGGGTTTCACCATGTTGGCCAGGTTGGTCTCGAACTCCTAACCTCAGGCGATCCACCCGCCTTGGCCTCCAAAGTGCTGGGATTACAGGCGGGAGCCACCATGCCCGGCCTTCATTGGATTCTTTCTAGTGAAATTCATCTTGTAGAGTGAAGCATACAAAGTGCTATTTCTTTTTTTTTTTCTTGACCAGAAAAAGATTCGTTTACCTACCATTTCATTGATAGTATGGCCTGCGGTGACCATTTTCTTTTGTGTGTGTACAGCGCCATATAGGCTTTGCATTTAATGATCTCTTATGGTTAGAAAACACAATAAAAACAAACTGTTTGGCTACTGGACAAATTGTATATTACCAGATCATCACTAGCAGGTTTCAGTTGCACATTCAATCCTTTATGAAATTCATAAAGAATTGTTCTGGGAAGTGGGAAGCGCCTCTGCCCAGCCCCCATCCCATCTGGGAAGTGAGAAGCCTTTCTGCTTGGCCGCCCACCCTCTGGGAAGTGAGAAGCGCTTCTGCCAGGCCCCTGCCCCATCTGGGAAGTGAGGAGGGCCTCTGCCTGGGGGCTGCCCATCTGGGAAGTGAGAAGCGCACCTGTCTGGCCGCCCACCCTCTGGGAAGTGAGCAGTGCTCTTCCTGGCTGGCTGCCCACCCGCTGGGAAGCAAGGAGCACCTCTGCCCAGCTGTCCCACCATCTTGGAAGTGAGGCACACCTCTGCCCGGCCCCTGCCCTGTCTGGGAAGTGAGGAGTGTCTCTGTCCGGCCACTGTACCTTCTGGGAAGTGAGGAATGCCTCTGCCTGGCCACCCACCATCTGGGAAGTGAGGCACGCCTCTGCCTGGCTGTTGCACTGTCTGGGAAGTGAGGTGCGTCTCTGCCTGGCTGTTGCACTGTCTGGGAAGTGAGGGCACTGTCTGGGAAGTGAGGTGCGTCTCTGCCTGGCTGTTGCACTGTCTGGGAAGTGAGGTGCGTCTCTGCCTGGCTGTTGCACTGTCTGGGAAGTGAGGTGCGTCTCTGCCTGGCTGTTGCACTGTCTGGGAAGTGAGGTGCGTCTCTGCCTGGCTGCTGCACTGTCTGGGAAGTGAGGAGCGCCTCTGCCCGGCTGCTGTGCAACCCTCCAAGTGTGAAGTGACAGCCTTATGTGTGATCTTTTTGCTCTCCCCAAGTTTGCATTTTCGACATTAATAGTAGTTTACTTTTTAAATAAAAGTTTTAAATTGGAGAATAAAAAAAAACTAACTTCAGCTTCTTATTATTGGAGATGCATGAAAGCTCTACCCACATACATGCTAGGAAAAACAGTTCAGAAAACACGGGGGACTGACTCTTCCAAAAGCAGCAGCTGTCTACTCTGCGGCCTACTTCCAAGGGCCACTGTAAGAGGAAGCCTGGGCTGCAGCATTCGGAGGTAGCAGCAGCAGAGACGGGAAGGAAGCAGGCCTTGCCTTGTGTGGCATTCCAGTTCCCTCTGTCAGCAGGGGCCAGATCCCCCTTCCTTAGCTTCAACTACAATTTGGCAAAAGCAATTCTAGGGTAACTGGGGGCAGTAGGGGCGTGAGGGGTTTACTTCCCTCTGCTTAGATAACAGAGGTAGAAGAAACGCTTTCCATCAATTGCTTGGCCTCTAAATGCCACAGGCAGGCTACTTTTCATGGCTTTTCAAAGCATCCAAGCAATCCAAAGTGGCTTTGAACAGCAGAGTAAGGCCAAGAAGGGTAAAAAGGGGCCAGAGCTGAGGTGTTTGGGCCAGTTCTGGATCACTCATATTGTTGAGGGAGGAATGGGAGCATAAGATAACAAGGAGCCTCAGTCCACTTGAGGAAATTCTCTGGTTTTGCTGCAGTTTCGCTTCAAACTTCCACAGCAGAAGAATTTGAATTCTAATGCCACAATATTGTTGTAATACCAGGGATTCTCTAGAGGCAAGTTAAGGCTTTCTGGGCAAAGAAAACAATTCCAGATGATATTGTGACAGAATGCTACAGTGAAATGCTTCTTAATGACTCTCCTGTCCTGCCTAAAGGACAAAGACCTATGAGTGACTTCAACTTGACGTGATGTTTCAGTGATCTTTACTTCAGCTCTAAGTCGGAATCAATGGCACAGGAAAAGAAAAGCCTCTTACATCTCAGACATCTGCTTGCCGAGCAAACACAAACAAGAACACGTGTATTGTTTCTCAGGAGCTGGCAAAATAGATCTCAAGTCACACAGTTACAAAGAGAGCTCTCATTCAGATGCCGGGCATAGAAGCTCAGCTACCCAGACAGTTCAGCTTTAATGAAGACTGTAGTTTTAGAATGAAAGCCTGAGCAGGAAGGATTTCTGCCCTGGGAATTCTCAATGCTCTGCCTGAGTCACACTGGAGGATGGAGATAGGCTCCTCATTCCAGCGGCCAGCACCTGCCACAGTCACAAGACCACCCTCAGAATAGCAAGGATCTTACGATGACAATGGGGACTCTGAAGAGAAGCCAGTCAAAGACACAGGGCTTTGGACAAGATCAAGGGTCTTCACCAGGAAAGCTTAATGCAGAAGCCCCCTCCCTCCAAGTCCCCTTAGCATGAGCCTTGAGCCTTGACATAGTTGTTTCCATCTGCAAGGGCTGGAGAAGCCAAGTTCACACTGATGTTCAGCAATGTTCAAGCAAATGATGTGTAAATAGATTAAATGGTCTTAGAGATGGTCTAAGAGGAGGGAACAGGCTCAGAGAGGTGAGGTGATTTGCCCATGATCCAATGTGAATTAGAGACCATTAGGACAAGAACTCAGGTATATTTCCACTCTTATGGTGACTCATAAGGTTCCCAGTAAGCGTAAAATGCTGCAGAGAGGAGAATATTGCAACCAACAGCTTTCTGCTTTCACTCTGCTCTGGAGTCATTCGTGTAAACTCACAGCAGGAAAAGATAACAGTTTTCTTCAAGTCTGTTAAACTCACTTCTAACATAAAAACATTAAAGAAACTTGACACAATTTTTTGAGTCAGTTAAACCTAATTTGACTGGAATCAGTTACTTATAAGTATCTTCAAATTGCTTATGAGACACGGAGTACTACAGGAGAGATGTGGGTGCTTCCCCCCATTGGTTTTTAACACATTATTCCTGCAGTGGAATTGTCCGGTTGATGCAATTTATAACCTCAGTTTGATTCTAAAATATAATATTCAAATACTCTTTAAAAATTCAGCCTTGTTTTCGCCCAAATAGAACCTTACTAGCAAAAGGGGGATTCATATAATCATCAGAAATGAATGACTTTGGGAAGAAAGGCAAGGACACCTGGAGGAAGGAAAAAGGATGACCTATGTATAAACTGCCACTCCCTCATTTATCAGGCAAGTTTGCAGCTCTGTAAATTCAATGCCTCTGTGCTCTCATTCAGGGACAAACAAGAATTCTCCTGTAAGACAGCCACAGTCACATTCGCATTTCCATGCCTAAGAGCCTGAAGCTTGAACAAAGGGCTTCAGTTAATTTCATGTGAGCCAAAATGGAATGTGAGTGCCATTCAGAGTCACACACTAAAAAGATTTCAGCTGGGACATTGGCTCCCACAGTCCTGGGGGAGCAAATTCCGGTTGTGTAGCAACAAAGGCTATGCTGCCAGCCCTGCCTGTCCTCCACAGGGGCCACCAGGACTGCCATGCAGACCAGGCTCCACCCTCCCCCACGCCGGTTTGTGTGACAACAGGGCTGTCTTTTCTCTTCCCAAATTTCTGAATGGAGCTAGTACCTGGGCCAGCCACTATGCTGTCAGAATAGGTTAAGGGGTGTGGCCTCAGGCATATGAAAGGAGCCTCTTGCTCTTCTGTGGTGGTGATTCAATCCTAGGATGTTATTGCTTGGTTTACCTATTCTCATAAAAAGCCTTGAGAAATGAAGGTAGTAGTGGCAGAAATATGACTATCAATCGTCAGGATCACAGCTGTAGTTGGGTGAAGGGAAAAGTACAGAGGAGAGGGAATAGCTTCCAAATTGAGGGGTAAAGTGCCAGTCTGTGCTAAAAGAACACGAAAAGGAAATGTATTAGAGAAATAATACACTGGGGGGAAAGTCATAATGATAGAGGTTGGCGAGTGTCAGAAATTATACCAAAGCAAAGTTGAGACCACAGAAATCTCAATTTTCTGAGACAAGGGCTGTTTTTGATGTTATTCAGATGATTTGGTGATTGTCAGAAAACAACTTCTTCAGGTTACGGACGTTCCCGTCACAGTCACTTGGACCCGTGCCCAAACCACACCCACCTGTGGCCCTGAGGGTTGGCACTCAGGTGCTCAGGTGGCTCCTTTGATCCCTGAAACATCCATGCAGACCCACTACTTATATTACAGTCTGTCCTGGAGTCAAAGGAGATGAAGGAGGGAAACTATCTTTTTAAAGTATCCAGGCAATTTTACTCATAGTTCTGTTTAGTTCCAGATAGCAACTGCTGATTTTTCAAAGTGCAGGGTTTTTAGATATTCAAGTACCACAGGATCGGAGAAAAGGAGTACTTGAAACCTAGAGTTGTGTTTTCACTTCAGAAGACACACTTTGGAAACACCTATCCAACAGACTACAAATATAGGCTATTAAATTAAAAATCTGGTTTCAAAATAATACCCACTTAGGTTGGAAATATCTGTCTCCAAACTCAGGTCCAACTTTTGAATTGTTTGGTATCAAAAAGCAAAGTTAGAGGAACTTGGGTTTAAAAACTAAAATTACAAGTAAGTGCTTAAAAAAAAAAACAAAAAAACACCAAAACATCTTTTTATCAAATAAGGGACACACACACACACAAAAGGCAAATGATGATATCTACATGCTTAGACTGGGAGAGCAGCTCCCAGGCTCCCCTGGAGGGATGTTCTCTCAAACCTCAGTAAACTGAGTTTGTCATCGAACTTTGAACCTGGTAGTGAGCTCAGCAATCTACCTGGTCCAAGTCCCCCATTTTAGAGGTGAAGAAACTGAAGTCCACAGGGACTTTGTTGAGGGTGAAAAGCTGAGCCAGGGCACAGCCCAGATGCTCAGCCCACCCAGAGCCCTTCTGAGACATCACACTGTGGTCACCCGATGGCAGCTCCATAGCTGGCCTTGCTGCTCTGGAGACCATGGGAGCTAGGGGATACCCCTGATTGATTATGAATTCCAATAAAATGAGCTATGAAGATGTTTCCAATTCAAGGGTGCTGTTGAACAGCATTTCCAAAATTTGCTTGGTGATGAGAATCATCTGGGGCACTTGTCAAAAATTAAAATCCCCAGGCTCCTTCCCAGACCTAGTGAATCAGCCTCTCCGAGGGGAGGGACCTGGGAGGCTGAATTTTTAACAAGTGCCCCATGTAACTCTCAGCAGCAGCAAAGTGTAGGGAAATGATCTTAGAAGATAGGGTGAAAACTTGGCTTGTGACTCAAAGGAATTTCCTTTGCCATTTAAGAAGCCACACTCTGGCCTGGAAGCTCAGGCTTCCAAGCTGAGCTGTGTCTTCAGCATTGGCCTGGAAGGGTGAGCTCTTTTTAAGGTCTACGTAAGGACACATACCAACCACCACAAAATGACATACACCCTTCACTGTTCTCAGGGAAAAGCCTTTTGGTGGCAAAGCAAAATTGCTATTCAGACACATTTTTAATAGGCAAACTAGATGTACTTGGCTTAAAAGCAACCAGATGCTGAAACTGGACAGAGGGCAAGAACTCTGTCACTTGTCACCATGACTAACAATGCAATGGAGAAAACCAGTAACTAAGCACAAAAATAGGCTGGAGCTCCCAGGAAGAGCTGCCTACTCCGAGACAGGTGTGCATGGTGGGTGCCCCCTGCTGATGGTGTGAGGTCAGATCCAGGTCACTGAGGGAGATGGGAGACCTGAAACAGGGGGTGAGGGGACGCAGCTTCCAGAGGAGGGCTGCTGGAGCATGCCAGAGTCCGGAGGCCTCACTCCAGGTCAGCCTCCACCTGCTCCGTGTCAGAGCACTGTGACTTGTTACGCTCCCATTGGCAAATGGCGTTGGCGTACTCCACCACCAGCTTATCCATCCATGTCAGGGGCTCCGGGAACAGCACAGAGCCCTCAAAGAAGCCCAAGTGGCCTCCATGCAGAGGCAGCACAAACATGACGTTCTCTCGTTTCTCTGCAGGGGAAAGGCAGCTGAGTGAGTTACTGTTCTCTAGTTTGCTCCAGGACAGGAGGTGCAGAGGTGAGCTGGCTAGGGTAGCCTGGGCTTTCCCCACAGGGGCAGTCACCTAAGTGGGCATTCAATCTCTACTCACTCTGCCTTGTTCAACAAAGAGGGGGCAGGCAAGACAGTGGCACCTAGCAGGTTTTAGAATACAGCTTGGCTTGGAGCTGAATGGGCACCAGCTTACACCCAGGCTGGCCCAGATGAATTAAATCAGAATCTCTGGGGTGGGAGGTTGAGGAGGAGTGAGGGAGGGGAATTCCCAAGTGTTGGTATTGCTCAAGCTCCCCAGGTGATTCAATGTGTTTCCTAACTTTGTGCGTCGGAATCACTGAGGATATCTTATTAAAATGCAGATTTTGATTTAATAAGCCTGAAGGGGGAGCTGAGATTCTCCAGTTCTAAAAAGCTCCCAGGTGATTCCCATGCTAGCGGTGGGGGCTGGGCTCTGAGTAGGGATTCATGGCATTTACAGTATCATTTGCTAGAGAACAAGGAGAATTCAATGGAGTCAATGATTTTTCACTACAGACATTTATCTTCAAGATTGGTTTTTTTGTTTTTTTGAGACGGAGTCTCGCTGTGTCACCCAGGCTGGAGTGCAGTGGCACGATCTCGGCTCACTGCAAGCTCCGCCTCCTGGGTTCACGCCATTCTCCTGCCTCAATCTCCCAAGTAGCTGGGACTACAGGCGCCCGCTACCATGCCCGGCTAATTTTTTGTATTTTTTTAGTAGAGGACGGACGGTTTCACTTGTGTTAGACAGGATGGTTCTTGATCCCTGACCTCATGATCCACCCGTCTTGGCCTCCCAAATGTGCTGGGATTATAGGCGGTGAGCCACCGCGCCCAGCCTATCTTCAAGATTCTTAAAGCTGCATGTTGTGTTAAAAGATGTCCTAAGCTCTCAACGCCACATGCTAAGTGGCCATCCTGAAAAAATAAAAACCTAGAGCTTAACTTTATTTTTTATTTTTGATTTTTTTGAGACAGAAAAATTACTGGCAACCTCCACTCCTGGGTTCAAGCGATTCTTATGCTCAGTCTCTCCAGTAGCATGTACCACCATGCCCAGTAATTTTTGTACTTTTAGTAGAGATGGGGTTTCACCATGTTGGCCAGACTGATCTCAAACTCCTGGACTTCAAGTGATCCGCCTACCTCGGCCTCCCAAAGTGCTGGGGATTTATAGGCATGAGGTTACACACACTCAGGCCCAGTTGCTTCTATTTTTATGTTTAAAGCAGGATGGAGAGGCTATCACAAGAGATAGCAGAACAGGTATTTTTTGTTTGCTTTTCAAGGTCAAATTTTATTTTTAAAATTTTATTTATTTTTATGAGACAGGAATTCTTGCTCTGTTGCCAGGCTGGAGTGCAGTGGCACAATCACAGCTTGCTGCAGCCTTGAACTCCTAGACTCAAGTGATCTTCTGCTCAGCCTCCTGAGTAGCTAGGACTACAGGCATGTGTGCCACCAGGT